TTAAAAAACCCCTTGGAATCACATGGCTTGTTACGGCTCATTTGGTTTATTCGGGTTTCCTGTTCCGAGTTTGAATTAGTCTTCGGGATTAGCAAGAAAGAAAGAGGAAGTGGCCATCGACACTCCGCCTACTATAGGAGAAGGAGGTCACTGATTGGATGGTCATGTTACTAGGCGGACATTGTCACTATGATGTTTGTGGCGAAACCAACCTCGTTTATTCATGCCTTTCTGCCAGGGTGTTCGGTAGATTCAATCTACCGAACAAACTACCGAACGATGGACCACCTGGGAACTGGAGTGTGTCGTCAATTGACCGCCCAGAAGCTGCGGTTAACTGTAGCCTAATTGAAGAAAACTGGGAGGCCTTTGTTCGGTTGCCGAACACGTGGCAGCAGCCATTTTACCTCCCAAACGGCCAGCAGTGTTCAGCGCCTAAACTATGGAACTGAAAACGGACACTTAATTGCGCGAACACCGCTGAGCCGCCAGCCTCCTTCCCTTCCCATTCGAGAGCGGAACCGAATGACTGTTCATTCGGTAGTTTAACCGGATGAACAGCATCACCCAGATAGCTAAGCCATGGAGCCTGTTTATATAACGAAAAGACTATGTGAAGGACTTTGGCTCCATGGCGATTGAACTGTATGTATGTGATCTGAGCGCCATTCGGTAATAATGTGCGCTCAGATCTGAGCTATCTGGGGATATGTAGAACGTATATGTTTTATGTACTGAATGTAACTGTAGGTAATTTTATGTCTTTTACTGTTTGTTTTCTGCCATTTGGTTAAAGGACCACTATAGTGCCAGGAAAACATACTCGTTTTCCTGGCACTATAGTGCCCTGAGGGTGCCCCCACCCTCAGGGTCCCCCTTCCGCCAGGGTCCCCCTCCCGCCAGGCTCTGGAAAGGGGTTTAAACTTACCTTTTTCCAGCGCTGGGCGGGGCGCTCTCCTCCTCCGATCCTCCTCTTCTCCTCCCCGTCGGCTGAATGCGCACGCGCGGCAAGAGCTGCGCGCGCATTCAGCCGGTCACATAGGAAAGCATTATCAATGCTTT